AAGGTAGCTCATTAAACCCTCTACTGCCTAATGCCTTCGTTTCCATAATGACGTACACGGTACGTCAAGAAAATACGAAAAAAGAACAATTTTTGTTCCCAAATAAGACTAAACGAATCCACGCTGTGCCTGTGGCTAAAACTAAATCTTAGTAACATACAGTAAATCAGAGCCTAATATTTTGTAGGATGTTACATATGTTTTATAAGCAACCAGGAAGAGAAAATTGTGTTTACTTTGTTTCGTGTGACGTCCTTGTGGTACGGCACGAAGCTAACATTTTCATATACTTCCAGGATGTACCATGCACCTACGTCATAAAAGGCAACAGAAGCAAACCTGCAAACCCCTCCATGACCAAAAATAACAGTTATCTTTTGATGCAAATCCAATTGGGGTACTTCCATGCAAGCAAGAAAAAAAGTTGGAGGGCTTCGATTTTACAGTCCGTGCCGGTTTTAAACACGCCGGCATAAAACACATTTCGGACTCAAGCAAGCTAAACGGCTGTTGTTACCTAATTTTTGCTATATAAATTACACACCTTTAAACACGGTAACTTCGACTTCCGGCACGCTTCATTTACAAGACAGCCAATACTTTCATGATGACTCATCGAATTTCTAACACAGTCTACACCACAGCAGTGAGTGTGTTAAGAGAAACACAAAGAATGCAAATGATGGAGACACCAGGGCTACCCTTTTCAGGCCAACTTAAGAGGTTCCTTTACCCTTTGGTTTACTATCTTAAGGGGTATTTAAACCCTTGTTTTAGAAACTTAAAGGGGAAAAGTCAATATTTTATAATTTTATAGTAAGATTTTTTGCTTGTAAACATTTAACTCACACGCACATTTATACAGACACACACAGAGTGACAATGACTTTGATTGAATGCTAACGATTTTTAATTAACTTAAGAAATAAATGAGTTAATATTGACTAGAATTAGAGTTGTGTCCATTTGGAGAGGGGGGGGGGGAAAGTGGTGGTGGTTGAGCAGTTGGGTCTATCAAAAATAAAATAAAGTTGACAGACCAAAAAGGGTCAATTCCGACTATAATACACCAAGAAAAATAGACCTACAATCTATGAAATTTACAAGTAAGGATTTCAGTGGGGGAAAAAATTGGGACTTGGTGAAAAAAATTGGGATCAACGACAAATCACCTAGGTCACTGCCAACCTGACTTTAAAAATTTCCAGGGGTGTTACTTATTATATCCATGTGTATATTCCCTCTGTGCGCGCGCGCATGTGTGGTGTATGTGTGTGTGCACACGCGTGCATGTATGTGTTTCACTTATCTATTCTTTAAATCCTGAAGTATCACGTCAAGGTCTTCTAGTCCAAGAGTTAATAACTGTTTTACTGACGGGTCTTGGTGAAGCGCCCGACTAACCAGAACTCGGACAAAGCATGTTTTGGCAAAAGTAGAACTTGAGAATGTCTTAAGTAGGAATGCCAAATCAATACTACTTTCATTATAGTTGAAATATCACGTGTGAGCAAAGCTCCAACACAACTTTAGGTGAGTCAACTACTAAATTCGACATCGACATTTTGGAAAATAGTGCTCCGAGTTTCTGCTGATTAAAAGTTTAACGAGTGCTTCCCACGACAGAAAAGGAGGCAGAGTAAGATTTTAGAAAAATCCGGCGCTACAGACGGAACCAAAATATTTTTAAAAATCGGGGTACACGCGATCAATATCTGGAAAGTCGGGACGCTTGAGATTTAGGGCACGGATGAGTGGCAGGTTTGGAAAATAAACTGATTCATTCTTCTTCGGAGCAATCCCAGGGTTCACATTCCAGTCTTTCCAGACTTTCGAAGGCGGACAATTCATGTTTACTAGTGTGTTAAAGAAGGATGGGGGTAATCTCACGGCGAGGTAAACTCAAGGCACAACACCGGCAAATGTGAGCGGAGCGTCTGTGCTGAAGCAAGCCGGTGTTGTCAGAAACTGCGCACAGCTGATAAGTAGGTCGACGAGTCGACTTCTTCTGACACAGAAGGTGACTGTCGTGCATGTGTGAGGATGTGTTGTCAAATCATTGACTCGGCTTCGGTATAGAGAAGGGGGAAAAACGATGCTTGCCAGACGCACACCACCTACGTTTTAAAGTGTATGCAAACCCCCGAAATGAAAGTCTCGCACCACCAAAACTTAAAGGGGGTAATTCGCAGGTTTAATTTAATGCGTAATATATGCACATTTGAGCGTAATGGGGAGCCCTGAGACACACACGCGCACAGAGAGGAAGGCACAGAGATGCACACAGCCGCGCACTTGGACATAGGATCTAGCCTTGGGCAAAGCTACACACAGACGAAAAAAATACAAAGAGAGTCGGGGAGACGAGAAAGGGAGGCTGGCTGCGATTTCACCTTTGCCCCTAGCTATCCGATAATCCGGATTATGTATCACGCGCGAGGTGGGATGAGGGCGGTTGTATGAGTGTGGCACAGCGGGCAGTGGTACGCAAACGTAGTGTGTGCTGTATCGTGACTGGCCATCTAAATTAAGTTTTCCTTTCCCATTCGATCACAAAACAATACAAACAAACAAACAAACAAAAACTATCATTGCGGGTAAAAATGACAGCGCACACTTTTGTGCGACCACTACTTACGAACAAAGGAAATAACTCAGGAAATTTTCTACACAAAAATCTCTGTATTATGACAATGTCTACTTCGCACTCGAGCACGCTTCAGCATTAAGAAATTTATATGTTTTCTCCCGATGACCGTGCTTGTTAAAGCCGGTATGGACTGTACTTGGCAAGTCTGCGAAATTATTGAGACAGATAATAGTCAGAGAGTTCATATCCTAGCCGGCCAAAGTTCTTTTTTAGGGTTGACTCATAATTACATACGAACATGTAGGTAGGGCCACTTAGAAATGATAGCAGATATGGTACCTGTGATCAAAGATTAGTGCACAGGTTGACAATGTCAAACATGTTCAAGCTTTTGGAAAGGTAGTCGAACTCAGTCACTAGCAAGTATCTCTTGGCTTAAGACATAAAAAAACTTAACATCCTATTCTTAAAAGACAAAAAGTTGAGCTGCAATGACTTGTTTATTTATACATGATGTGTTTGTGAAATGGAAGTTGTATTCTCACCCCGGGTGAGAAAAACCTATAGCTATGCTATGTCTCGCTATTCTCACCCCCTCCCTTGTTTTACCGGAAATGACCCAATAGGGACCAGGGCTGAGGTTATCGGGGATGATGCTCCACAGGATCGTGTTGGTGTCCGAATAGACATAATTTACATCTAGTCACAGTCACGGTGGTCAGATTTGAGCCAGATCTGGCCCGCTGAATTTCATTTGGCTCTCTGGCTCTTTTTTGGCTCCAAACTCCAACAAATATTCAAGAAGAAGGGACAAAAGAGGCAAGAAGAATAACAGGAAAAAAAATGAAAGCTTGGATTGCTTTTAAAATAAAATTATTAAACTAGATCTAGTTAACACGATTTAGCGCCCTCAACCATTTGGTTTGAATAATTTACAACCCTTCTACTGTCCTGCAAGAGCATTTATTGTCTCGTGCTTGTGTCGTGTAACGTACTTGTAAAATGTATGCTCTCTGTTCCTTGAACCATAATTTATTGTGCGCAGGCAGAGAGTGAGAGGCCTGCCATCGTTAAGTCAGTGTGTATTAAATGAATAGTAATATGGGTTATTCTCACGCGGGGTGAGAATAAAGGTGGCCTTGTGAAACTGGCTGTGATAGTGGCAACTATTATTGATATAATATGACATCAGCAAATTTGCATACAAACCCAATTTCACCACTGGCACTGGGATATAATCATCCATTCCTTTTTCATTTCTTAAGTTTTAAAAATTCGTAGTTAGTGAAAATTAGATCTCTATCTTTTTTTGGGGGGGAGTGTATAAAGACCCGGTAACCGGGAACAAAATCACAAAGTATACAGACCCGGTAGGGGAAATCTTTTGTGATTTCGGAAAGTTTCAGCGCCCTCTTGGCTCAGGGTAGACCTAGGTTCTTCTAGATCTATGGCCTACATCTAGGTTGAAAGATATAAATCATTGATCTAGTTTCGAGACTAGCCTACATCTAGATCTAAATGAAAATTGCACATGTCTTTTCGAAGAACGATAGTTTTTCCTCCGTTTTGGAGTTGGAGGAATCACAATTTTAAGAAAAGAACAATGTCATTTTATAATTTCAATCGAGCAGTCACCCTCTCTATTTCTCTGCCCCCCCCCCCCTCTCTCTCTCTCTGCTCTGTCTCTGTGTATCGCTCCCATTCTCTTTTTCTTTGTTTGTCTCTATCTTTCTTCCTCCCCACCTATTTTCCACTCTATCTTTCTCTCGTTCCCTCCTGTCAACTGGGGCATGTCATATATATAATATATATTTATGTATACATTTTGCTAACACTTCCCCCTGCTCTCTCTCTCTCTCTGTCTCTCTCACACTCACACACACACACACACACACACACACACAGACAAACACTACCGGGTCTGGGCGCTGAAACTTTCCGAAAACACAAAAGAGTTCCCCTACCGGGTCTGTATATACTTCGTGACTTTGTTCCCGGTTACCGGGTCTGTATACACTTCGTTTTGTTTTTTTCACGGCAATGGGTGGCATTGTTTATGTTATTGTTTGTCAATGCTGAGTTTTGTAAGTTGTGGTGATTTATTTTATTATAACGAAGGCCTTTTATTATAATTTAACAAAAATAAAATAAGTTCAAGATGCACACAGTAGGCCTACACATCTGAATCTGGACCTAAATAGTTCTGAAACTCAAACTTTAAATCATAACAAGACAAACAATTAAACCTAACAATATTAAGCAATAAACAAATCGTAGTTGAACGTCTTGAGAATCTGCAGCGTTGGAAAGGCTGACCCTTGGCTTTGTTGAAGTGAAGTGATGGAGTCAACTTCAACTGAAAGATCCCACAACATAGCGTTGAAAGTAAAATGAAGAAAAGATCTTACACGTTTCCTTTGAGGGTTCATCTCCAAAAAAAGTTTGCATCTCGTTCTCTGTGCATTTCCCGCGAGTTCCTTGTCCGAGAGCTTGCAATAATCTTCTAGAGACAGGAGATCAAGAAATCTAGATGGGACAGTTTATCCTGAGTTGCTGTTCTTTCTTGTGACACAAATGCAGCACGTAATAATCTGTAAACATTACATGAGTGGCTCGCTTTTTTGCCATTCATCATGGCTCGGAGTCCGTACAATAAATAGCTCGCATAAATCGCCAATCCAAGAAAATTCATTAATTATCATCATCATCAAGTGTCAGATCTGAAACAGACATCGACAGTCAAGTTTCACCACTGTTTTTTTCTGCTGGAATGTTGTCATAAAGCTACGTATATATATATATATATATATGAAATCTAGCATTTGGATGTTTGTTGTGTTTTTTTCCAGATCAGAATGCACACATAAGAAATGAAAGCCACATGGTAGGCCAAACTGTAGTGAAAAGATTACCCGACAGCGTGCGCACAAGGAGTTAACAGTTCCTTGGAGTAACTATTAATACAGTTACTCCAAGAACAGTTCTAAGCTCCTTGCGTGCGCAGCATAATATGCGCCCAAACGTGGCCCAAACTGAGCTGACGTCGAGAAAGTTTTTTGTTGTAAAGTACTTGGCTGACGTTAATAAGAATTACTTGTATAACATAGAGATATTTACAATATATATATATTTATATATAGGGCCTATATTTTTTTATAAAAATAATAATATAGATGTATATACACAGTAATATATTAATACAGTCCACTTTAATAAATATCTGCTGGCCCGCAGGATTTTCTCCGGTTTCGTCGGTTGTCGTTTGAAGAGGGTTGCTCAAATAGTGATGATTGTAAAGAACCTAGAATGTATGCTGCTGGCAATTTTCCCTTTTTGGAAGACAAAAATGTTTGCTTCTTTCAGTAACTGCAATTATTTGAAAGACTATGGTGCGGTCAAAAATTCGTGGCCAACTTGTTCACAAATATCTCTTTAACGTGTAAATCAATGTCACCCATACTTTGCGCAGCAGTTGGTATCAATTTTGTCTTACTAAATCATATTTTTTCACCTCAGCTGAGACTAAATTAAAAAACTTTTCTTCGTAAATTATGTATAGGGCCTATAAAATACTATAAATTTTCATCACGAGGAAAACGGGATCGTTCAGAGCACCCCCGCTCCTCACATACATTTTGTATAGTATAGGCCTACGCATTGGCTAAAGCCCTAGATTTCTACGTCACAGCTCGCCAATGACACCTTTTAGTTGCAAAACTTGTTACAATAAATTAATTTTAGAGTGAACACTTTTTTACACTGTTCTCAAAACATGCGTTCAATAAGCATAGCGTCTCTATTAGGAAAAAAATGACCGACTTGCTTTGAAAAGCTATAATGTCCCAGCTGTAATCCTTGGAAATTCTGTAGAAACCACCAACTGGGGCATAAGTCCTAAAGGAATTTTCTAGAATACAGCCACAGAATTCTACACAAGTGTAGAATTCTGTAAATACAGCTAACAGATGTTTTCACAAATATTGATCTGTAAAGACAAATTGATTCAAGTCACTGTGCTTCATATTTGACAGTTAGGAAATGTTTTACAAAAAGTTGCGCCACGAATTTTTTACCGTAGGCCTTCTATAACTATTTATAACTGTGCGCATTGTGCTTTCTCTTCGGCATTAAAATTGTCAGCTTGCTTCACAGAATTCCACACTTGGTGTAGAATTCTGTGGCTTGCTTTTAAATTATTGTTAATCTGCCGAAAGTCGAAAAGTCACAAAGAACGCACGAAAGACAAAGAGGGTAAATGGAAAAGTGAGAAAAAGATTTAATACTAGATCTGGTGATGTCCTGAAACACACCATGACGTGCATGTTTATAATATGTGTACAGGACCTGTGAATTGGTTTCGTAGCCTATATGGCTGCTCGAATGTTTATCGACAGACGTACATTCGCTATCCGCCATGTAGGCTATAAGCCTGTTGATGGGAGTGAGACGAGCGTGCAAACAATGAATTTATATTTTAGATTATTGACGATGTCTGTCTTTGGCGCGTAATCGATGCACGTGCGTTCACGTGCATGACTCTTTTCTCTCTTTTGTTTTTTTATTTTTGTTTGCCGTCCTAAAGCGCCAGTGCTCCTATCATAGGATAGTTTAATCATCATCATCATCATCATCATCATCATCATCATCATCATCATCATCATCATCATCATCATCATCATAATCATCATCATCATCATCATCATCATCATCATCATCATGACCATAATAATAATAATAATAATAATAATAATAATAATAATAATAATAATAATAATAATAATAATAATAATTTTATAATAAAGCTGAGTGACAAAACAATAATAATATAATGCTATTGATTAACGAAACGAGTCAAATATTTTTTAAACTTCTAGATACTGCTCCCAAATTACTCCCAATGTTGAAATTTGGCTGTGGTACTTGCGTGCGTAGTTTGTTACTTTCTGATTTGTTTTTATTTTTATAATCTTCATGTAATAATACTAGATCTAGAATCTAGATCTAGATCTAGCTTTATTGGGCGCTTTTTCGGTAGTTCCCACCCCGCATTTGTTATTCGCCGGTATTGGCCCCAAGAGTAGGGGGGTTTCACTGGGGCTTGCCCCCCCTGACCTAATAAAAACATGGCATGGTGGGGGGTTTCAGGGGGGCATGCCCCCCTGAATTTTACCACAATTTAATGTTTTGCAGTTGTTAGGTTTGATATCTTAGCTTGCCGCGAATCAAACGTATATAGATCTAGATCTAGATGTAGGTCAGGCTCAATCAAATAAGGGGGGTGGGAACTACCGAAAAAGCGCCGCTTTATTGTTTGCTTTGCTCAAATTCAAAATGTTTGAGATATATATATATATATATATATATATATATAGATTCTATATATATATTTAAAGAGAGAGAGAGAGAGAGATTTTTCAGTGCTGACACATGCTCTGTAACTGTAAGACTGTAGTCTAGTAGGCTGAAGTTGAAGGCTACTCCGTAGGCTACTTTGTTGTTGTTGATCATCATTGAATTGACCATTGACAACATTGAACTTTTTGAGCGAACCACAGTTCCATGTCCTGATCGAGAGCTATGCACCGTGACAATACCCCCTCCAGCCTCACGGAAAAGTGAATATCCCATCCTCATCGCCAATGTTACGGTCTTGTAGGTTGTACCAGGAAACTTGTAACAGCAATCTTGTACATCAATCAGGAATACAGGAGTCTCGTCTTGGGTCGAACATAACAAAATCAAAGTCAAAATTAAAATGCAGTTCTTCTAACCATCCATGGCATCTATACTTACTGACACTGATATGATGGGGATGCTTTCTAAAATCTTTAGCCTACTCTTTGACTTTATGACTTTATGTTATAATATGACTCATGTGAGTTATCGGGTGCGCACTGTTTAAATCCAGGCAGGTTAATTAGCTAACTTTAATTTTGAATAAATGGTTTTAAAACTCTTATCCTGCGTCTGTGCCCAGATGCGTATCTTATTAGCAACCGATTACGTCGGACGTGCCGGGAAGGCTGCCGGGGTCACTCAGTGTATACTGTTGGTGTACAGTGCGCGCACCGGGAAACATATGTTTTCGCCATGAATACCGCGGGAGTGTGTTAACTGATGATGAAAATAACGCTCTGTCTTTCATAGCTTTCTATTTATAAAGTGTTACAATGAATAACACCCTCTCACAAGCTGATAAGACATTACGAGTAGTTATGCCCATTCGAATACCTTTCTGGACGCTCTTGTTCTTATGAATGACCTGAGGTTCGAAAGGGGATAATTTATGTCAATTTCCGAATGTTTTACGCTCAAATTGTTCTCTGTACCTGCACAATGGTATTCAAAACTATCAAACAAGCTTATTTTTTATCAGGTAGTATCATTTCATACAAAATCAAGCTCTTTTGAAATATTTTGTATAGAAAAATGGAAGTCTTGTTTCCTGACTATCCTTTCAAGT